TGGGGGGGAAGAACCTTGCCCTGAGATCCACCCTGAGCCTGCCCTGACACAGCTCCAGCCATTCCCTGGGGGCTGTCCCTGCTCCCCCCAGAGCAGAGATCGGAGCTGCCCCTCGGGAGGAGCTGCAGCCCCCGCTGAGCTCTGCCCTCAGTCTGCTCTGCTCCAGCTGCACACACCAAGTGCCCTCAGTTGCTCCTCATGGCCCCTCCAGACCCTTCAGCATCTTTACAACCCCCCTCTGACTGATGGCTTTTTAACTGCGCTTACTTAAAAAATAACAACATAAACCCCTTCAGCCACTGTCAGCTCTGCAGGTCAGTGGCACAGGAGGGGACGTGCTTGCTCTGTCCCTGTGGTGACACCCACGGTCACAGAGCTGGGAAGAGCATTGGAGGCAAAGGGCTCAACCCTGGGAAAACACTTCCAGGATCCCCTGGCACAGAGATCCAAGCTGGCCTGAGCACCCACAGCCCCAAGTACAACAACCTGGGGACAACTTCACATCAGTATCCCCACTGACATCTAGAAAGGAGGAAGGTGTTTAAGTTAAGGAATGTTTAAGTCATCTGATGGATTTGCTTTTAACTGAAATTTGCCCAGGACCATTTCCAACTTCTCCATTCCCACCCAACTCTGCTGTGCCACTCCCCTTCCCCGTGCTTTTGGGCCACCTGGATTTCTCTCCCTTCACCCCCCACCCCCCCCAAGCCACTAAATAAGGAAGAAAAATCACATTGACTTTTGTCATTATTTATTACAAATTATATTTTGAAAATTACTGTCTAAAAAAAATCAATAGATTTAAATAAATATACAGATTTCAGGATGCTACATATGGCAAGTGTGCAGTAAGTCACTTAAGGAGGAGACATTATCCACACAAGGAGAGATACATAGTACTTAACAGCAGTAGTTTTATTTTAAATTACTCAGCTCACATTAAACCATGTGCAAAGGAACAAATCTTCTCAGGATTTTTTTTTTTTCTTTACAATGACTCCAACCTTCAGAAGGTCAAATTTTTCCCCCCTCCAGGGCTTAGAGCAAAATCAAGGAATTATTTTATCTGTCCAACGGGACTACACTTGCAACAGCCACGGATTTTGGTCCACCACCAACTTCCAGCAGCCTTTAGAAATGCTCCTGTGTAATACTGGGTTGGGCAGCAAGAGGGACCCAACAGTGGTTCCATGAGAGCAGTGATTTCCCTGCACTGCCCAGGGGCAGCTGCAGCCTCTGTTTCTAATGGAATTAATCTGCCCAGGCAAACAAAAGTGCATTTGTGATACAGCTCCAGAGCCTCGAGATTGTGTTTGCCTGCAGGATCGGTTTCTGGGTCCTGGGCTCAGTGTTTTCCCCAGATTCCCCTGTCCCTCCTCTGGGCCAGCAGCCTGTGTTGCTCCATGGCTCTGGCATGGCTTTAAATCCCAGCCTGTCCCTGAGCACACAGCTCTGGGCTCCCCTACACAACCACACAAAGGTTGGGGTTGGAAGGGACCTGAAAGCCCATCTGGTTCCAACCCCCTCTTCTTTCTTCCCAATCCTCCCTTCCAAATCCATCCTGTCTGGCTGCCCTTTGCATTCCCTCTCCAGGTCACAATTCCTACAGGGAGCTGCTATCCACAGACTGTATTTATTACACAAGAGCCCAGCTCAGAGACCTGACCTAAGCAAAGCAGCAAGCAAGCCTTTGGATCTCCCCCTCACCACCACCACCACCTCTCTGCCTCCAGCCTCTCCTTCCAGGCAGGGCAGGAACAACTCTGGGATGCCAGGCTGAGAGCTGGGAATACCCTGCTGAGGGCGTGCCCGAGGAGATGAGATGGATTCCCAGCCCTGAGCTGACCCAGAGCAGCAGCTCAGGCCCAGCAGGGCTCCCTCCCCCTGGCTGTGCTGGGGCTCCTGCAGGGACAGCTCCACCTCAGCCTGCCCACCCTGTGCCTGCTGCGAGGGGTTTGACAGGGCTCTGGTGTGAGCCACCCTCCACCTCCACTACAGCCACTCAGGGACTGCAGGGAAAACTCCCTGCAGTGAATTTCTCAGCCAGTGAGTGCCACTGATCACTCAGTTGGCTTCCAGGCTTCTGGATTGTCTGTATATTTTTAATACGAACTGGGAGCTGTTCCAGCCCGGGAGTCTCATCCACAGGCACTGACTGACAAGAGAAAATAGTGCAAAGTCGGGCTCAGGCTGGAGGCAGCTCATCCCTGAGCAACAAGAGCAGCCAGAGCACCTCTGAAAGGAGCTGGGCCCTGCTCAGACACAGCTCAAAGGCAGAGCAGAGCAGGCCAGAGACATGGGCTCAGTGCTGGCACATCCAGCCTGCACAGAACCACCTGGGCTGGGATTCCACCCTCTGCCCACGACTCCAGAGCACAGTTAAGCTCGTACTCCTCCAGCAAGACCCTTGCCTGATCCAAAAAGGCACAATTCAGCTCCACAACACATCTAGGGCTGTATAGAGAGTTTTCCCTTTACAACAGTCTCTGGAGTACAGGCAGTGCTGGGTCAGCAACAGGAGCACAGACACTTCCACTTCTTCCCTTCCACTCACGGCCTTTCCTTCAGCTCTAACTACTGACAGCAGAGCTGGTGGCACCCACAGGACTCCAAATTCTTCTGGTGAACTTGGGATGCACCTGTTCCTTATCTCTTCTTCTTCCAGATGTTTTTCCTCCAAGGCAGAGCCGTTGGCTGGGCGTCCCTCCGGGAGCGCTGCGGATGTTTCCCAGAGCGCAGGCTAGAGGCAGCAAGGTCCCTGGGAACACAAGAGACACCATGTTCACTCTCCAGTCCATCTGCCCACTGCTCAGAAACAGCCTACACTGTGACATTTATCTGCCCCCCAGCAGGATTTCCCGTGGGGCAGAAGATGGGGGAAGGCAGAGGGGGAATTTCCAGCCACAGCTTTATTAAGCTCCAGCGGAGCTCCATCGAGCCCAACATCCCCTTTCCATCAGAGGCAGAGGATTCAAGGAGTCCTGCAGCAGCAGGGCATGACTCGAGTGATGCTTCCCCAGATCTGCCTTTCAGACACTGTTCCCGTTGCATCCAATTTAACTGCCAACAATTAACTGATTTGCCAACTCCTTTGAGCTCATTTACACTCCTGGAGTCTGTGTTTTTTGTTCCAGCAGCAATTCCACAACTCACTGATGTGAACTGAGAAAAGCTCTTTCCTTTGGTCCAAAGTTGCTGCCCCATAAATTACATTCCTCCATGATGCCATCCCCCCACCCTCTTCTTGTACATCACCCATCTGCCTGTGCCGTATCAGAGGAACTTCCTACTCCAATCAAGAATTACATTTTATGTGATAAGAAAATCCTCTGGATTTGCTAGGACACAAGCAAGCCTGGCTCCCTCAGCTCTGAGCCCTCCATTCTGCTCTCTACAGAGAGCAGAAAGAGTCAAGTCTCCTCATTTAAAGGAGACAAGGGGAGGAAGTCAGGTCAAATCCAAGTGGCAGCTGCAGTCTGGGGTCACAGCTGCTGATTTTCAAGTGCCTGTGAGGGATGTTCAGGGTGGGTTTAAGTGCCATCTCACCTGAGAGCCCTCAGTAGGCCATGATGGGGAGGCTTCATGTCACCACTCTGTGGGGACCTCGTTGATGCTGCAGAACTCACTGGGAGCTTCAGACTCTGGAGGTACCTGAAGAGCAAGAGGAGACTCATGAACCACCCACATCCAGACTGGCTGTGCTGAGCCCCAGTGACAGACAGCTGAATGCATGATCTTGAAGGGTTAATTGCAGCTATTTGAGAGCTATTCAGGGCTCACTTTCCCTGCTATTCCCTTCTGTCAGACCTCTATTCACATTTAATGATCGGGGATTTAAACTATTGCCTTGCTATGGAATTAATGCCAGACCTCTACAATGCCTTTGCTCCCACCTCCCCACAGTGTACACACCCCTCTGTGCTGCTGCTGCAGGGACAGAACTGAGACCCACGTGCTGTACAAACAGAGCTGATCACAGAGGAGATCTGGCTCCTGAGTCCCAGCTCCCAGCGGTCCTGCTCTGCTCCTCTAGTGTCCCAAAGTTCCATACCCTCTGCTTGCCCCTGTTCCCAATGTGCTGCCAGCTCTGCCTTCCCCCCAGCACACCCAGCACCCTGGCAGCAGGAGGGATGGAGGTAACATTGCTTTTATATCAGCTAGGAGAGAGGCTTTTGTACAACCAAAACACCCGGGTGGCACTGCCAAGGCCTCCTGGGAGGGCAGTGAAAGCCACTAGACAGGTTCCAGCTGTTCGCAGAGTCCCCGGGGAGCTGGAGATGCTCCAGCTCCTGAGCACTGTCTGTCTGTTTAACCCCTCCCCAGACAGCCCCCAGGACGCCCTGACTTACCCAGGCTTTCCCTGGCAGAAGGTGGCACAGATGTTGTCCCTGGAGTGCGAGCACTGGCACCTGCCCGGCGACCTCCTGCGCCGCCTGGGCGGGCTCCCCAGGCCGTAGGGAGCCGTGTGCCTGGGAAAAACAAAGGGATTCAGCCATGCCACCAAC